CTAGCACCTTTTTGTTTAAATCACTCAACAAACTGATTTCCTTGCTACACACAAGGATCATTTCAGCTTTCCCGAAAGGCAGCCGCCTCTGTAGTGAAAAAGTGACATCTGTTTTACAGCTGCAAAGCAATGTACTGCAATATGACTTTGTTTTTGTTTCCTTTCACATTAGTGTATCTCCTAGCTATGAGCTAAATAATAAAGGGGGGGAAATAAAGAAGTATTCATGAGGGTAAAAATGTGACCCAGCAGGAAAATTAAGGCCATATTCAATTGACATTGAATAGGATGAGTAAATTTTAGCTTTTCAAGCTACAATTTGGCTGAGATATCAGAGTTAGTACTGATACAGAAAGATATTTTTGGCATCTATAAATAATTCCTGAGAGTCACTTCTGTAGCACGTTAATAAACATGCATGGTCCCTTAGCATATAAAGAGAAGAGGATTATATTTTCTAGTGCTGTTTTTGGATTGCCCAAAGTAAATCTGTGTTAGAGGAAAAATTAACTCTTCTCAGATGCTATGAGCCTCATGTAGAAGAGCTTGTTTAGGAGCCTAGACCAGGTCAAGTTTTGCTGTCTCCTCCCTTCTTTTTGATCTGGAGTCCAGCTATGATATGGTAATCACTGTTCTAGGATGTAAATAACAACAATCAGACCAAAACAAAAGCAAAAAATGTATACCCACTATAATACCCTATATTCTTTTTTTTAATTAATTAATTTTGGCTGCGTTGGGTCCTCGTTGCTGCGCACAGGCTTTCTCTAGTTGTGGTGAGTGGGGGCTACTCTTCGTTGTGGTGCTCAGGCTTCTCATTGCAGTGGCTTCTCTTGTTGCAGGGCACGGGTTCTAGGTGCGCGGGCTTCAGTAGTTGTGGCACGTGGGCTCAGTCGTTGTGGCTTGCGGGTTCTAGAGCGCAGGCTTCAGTACTTGTGACGCATGGTTTAGTTGCTCCGCGGCATGTGGGATCTTCCTGGACCAGGGCTTGAACCCGTGTCCCCTGCATTGGCAGGTGCATTCTTAACCACTGCGCCACCAGGGAAGTCCAATACCCTATATTCTTATAATGAGGTTCAATTTATATGGTATAAAACTTTTACCTACATTAATTTGTAATATTCTGTGAGGTAAATAGGACAAGTATTATTGTTCCCATTTATAGATGTTTCTCAGAATTTAAGTGACTTACGCAAGGTTATACAATGGGTAAATAGAAGAACTAAAATTATATCCTAGGGCTTCTGCCCCCTCACCTTTCTTGTAACTGTTCTGTTTTCATCTATATTAAACGTGATGTTCAGGTACACTGGAAATTCTTTTGACAGAATCATGCGGGGTGTGTGTGTGTGTCTGTGTGTGTGTGTGTTCGTTCATGTGTTTGTTCTCTGACTTCGATTTATCAAGTATTTTTTAAAAATACTGAGTCTTTGTGCAATACAGCAGTGCCAAATGTAAGGTTTCTCCTCTGAAATCTACAGTTTAGCTGGGACATAGGATAGAAACATGGTAAAGTTAAATTAGAATATAAGGTGTCTGAATGCCAATTGAGCAAAGTAGTTGGGGAAAGACTGGGGCCAGGGAGGCCAGTTGAAGTGAGTGTTAATGACCTGCAAGTGATGACGGGCTGGGTATGACACACGAGAGAAGAATCCACAGAGTTTGGTGATTATACTTGTAGGAAGGGGAGTAACTTAAGGTGACTCTGAGGTTTGGAACTGAGTGACTGGGAGAATGATAAAAATAAGGAAATCAAAGTTGGGTGTTGGTAGGAGAGGGAGTATGGTAGGTCATTGGGTAAAGTAGTTGATGACGTGTGGGGGAAGGATAGAATGATGTCTCAAAATCGAGCTCAACATCCAGTGCATCCGAAACAAATTGAGAGTTACAAGATTGACTTAGGAGAGAGCTGAGGGCTGGAGAGAGAAATGGATGAGTTGTCTGTAGAGATGTAATGACTAAAGTGGGATAGTTTGATATGTTGAGTCAAACAGCTATCTCCTAGGTACTAGGCATCATGATAGGAGAACAATGTAGATCGAGGTAGTTCTATGAGATAATAGTTACTATGGTGAGATGTCCACAGGTAGGTACTCTGTGTCTATAGTCTTTTCAGGAATCAGGTTGTGTTTTCAAGAAAGTACCTCCCCACAGCACTCACTCTAGGGAGTGGTATGCACAAGGAAAATAGGAAAGAAGAATAGAGGACCTTGAGAAAATGAGGGATTTCTCTTAAAGGAGACAAGGAATCAGGTTGTTGTATTGTCATTTAAGACATAAAAACCCTCTGAATTTTTTTCTTTTGTGTGTGTGTGTGTTTAAGGGTAGTGCCATTTATTTATTTTTATATATATATATATATATATTTTTTGGCTGTGTTGGGTCTCTGTTGCTGCGCGCAGGCCCTCCAGCTGCTGCGAGCGGGGGCCACTTCTGCTGCGGTGCGCGGGCTTCTCATTGCGGTGGCTTCTGTTGCACAGCACGGGCTCCAGGCACATGCGGGCCTCAGCAGCTGTGGCTTGCGGGCTCCAGATCGCAGGCTCAGCAGTCGTGGCGCACAGGCTTAGCTGCTCTGCGGCACTTGGGATCTTCCTGGACCAGGGCTCGAACCCCTGTCCCCTGCATTGGCAGACGGGTTCTCAACCACTGCGCCATCCAGGGAAGTCCCTTCTTTCTTTTTTTTTTAAATAACCAGTTTTCAGTACCCTAGTTGCACTGTCACATTTTCCTTTTCTGCATTCCTGGACAGATAAAAGTTTCCCTATGTACTGAGCTCACTGTCTTATAGTCTCAGAATATACAGATGAATGCAGAGATGATAGAAACCAATAATACCCCATATTAAAACTGATCACTGGGGGGACTTGCCTGGTGGCTCAGTGGTTAAGAATCTGCCTGCCACTGCAGGGGGCACGGGTTTGAGCCCTGGTCTGGGAAGATCCCACGTGCCACAGAGCAGCTAAGCCTGTGAGCCACAACTACTGAGCCTGCACTCTAGAGCCTGAGAGCCACAACTACTGAGCCCATGTGCCACAACTACTGAAGCCCACGTGCCTAGAGCCCATGCTCCACAACAAGAGAAGCCACCACAATAAGAAGCCCACGCACCACATGAAGAGTAGCCCCCACTGGCCACAACTAGAGAAAGCCTGTGCGCAGCAACGAAGACCCAACACAGCCAAAAAAATAAAAATAAAAAAATTGATCACTGGGAATTCCCTGGTGGTCCAGTGGTTAAGACACCGCGCTTCCACTGCAGGGGGCTCGGGTTCAATCCCTGGTTGGGGAGCTAAGATGCTGCATGCTGCGAGGTGCGGGCCCCCCCAAAATATGCTGGATGCAATAAATGTTTAAAAAAAAAAACAAAACTGATCACTGTCTTTCATTTTTATTGGGAGCTAAAGTAAATCATCATCTGAATAGGCTACTGAATGCCCTGCCCCTGTTTTCTGTCCTGTAGCACTTAGAAGTATTTGCCTTTTTTGTCATATTGTTAAAACCCATGGGCATCTCCATGACTTCCACATCTCTTCCTACCAGTTTTAATGCTATTCTTTTAGTTTTGTTCTTAGTTTAGAGGAAGAGCTTTGTAATAAATTTGTTGGTCTGGTTGCTTAGCAGCTTGCCGTGATTATGTAGCTTGGAACAGATACATTGCCATTTGAAAATCTTGGTTTCCAGCCCTGATTCATGTATATATTGCATCCAAGCTTGGAATTGAAAGCTTTTTTGCTATTAGAGCAACCATCATACAAGTACAGATGAATAAATCTGTAGCATTTAATAGAAAATATCTTTATGTTTATATATTCCTTTTTCCTTTGTGTTTTTTCTGCCCTTTCTTGCCCTCATAGCTTATGGTACAATCTTACAAACATTGTAAAATCACTAAACCTTTGTAAAAGAGTTCTTAAAATTTTATTTAGATGCATGAAAAAAGGACCTGGACTAGAATGTTGAAGGGGTGATTAGGAGAAACATAAGAAGACTCCTTTAATGGTGTTTCTGAGAACATTCAATTGAAATTTGATTTTTTAATTTCATTTCCTTGATAACTTTCATAAAATCCCGCTGATTTCTTTCTTTTTTGAAGATCTTAGTTCCTTAAAGTGTTCCCAGTTAAAGTCTATTTGGAATAGAACTGCCTGTAAGGACACCATTTTTAATGTAATATCAGCAAGTCTTTGCGGGGGGGGGGGGGGG